TCATCGGAAGATGACATATCCCCCCGGCCCCACATCTTTGAAAGAACAAATCATCTGACAGTTACTTAAAGTCCAGCTTGATTTTAGACTAAGTGCAAATCGTTCCATGGAAATCATGGAAAAAATAAATGATAAATATCTGCAAATAGCAAAAGGCACCACTTCAAGATCTGCCTCACATATCTGCCAATTTTTGCTGAAACATATTAAGAAGTTTTTGAGTTGTGCTCCGGAAACGAACCTTACCCTGCCCTTTTGCAACTAAGTCTGAATCGTTTCCATGGAAACCAAGAAAAATAAAAATGCCCAAAATCTGCAAATAGCAAAAGGCACCACTTAAGGTTATGTTTGATATATCTACCAAGTTTTGTTGAAAAATATTGAACGGTTCTTGAGTTATGCTCCGGAAACGAAGCCCACCCCTCACTTTTGGGACTAAGTCCGAATCGTTTCCATGGAAACCGGGAAAAATAAAAATGCCCAAAATCTGCAAACAGCAAAAGGCTCCACTTAAGGTTCTGTTTGATATATCTACCAAGTCTTGTTGAAAAATATTGAACAGCTCTTGAGTTATGCTCCGGAAACGAAGCCCACCCCTCACTTTTGGGACTAAGTCCGAATCGTTTCCATGGAAACCGGGAAAAATAAAAATGACAATAATCTGCAAATAGCAAAAGGCACCACCATCCGTTATGTTTGACATATCTACCAATTTTTGTTGAAAAATATCGAACGGTCTTTGAGTTATGCTCCGGAAACGAAGCCCACCCCTCACTTTTGGGACTAAGTCCGAATCGTTTCCATGGAAACCGGGAAAAATAAAAATGCCCAAAATCTGCAAACAGCAAAAGGCTCCACTTAAGGTTATGTTTGACATATCTACCAATTTTTGTTGAAAAATAGCGAACGGTCTTTGAGTTATGCTCCGGAAACAAAATGATTACGGACGGACGGACGGACAGACGGACGAGGCGACGACTATATCCCACCGCATTACATGCCGGTGGGATAAAAATATCAGCATAGCACGAATACTGCTATTAGATTTCTGTTGTACGGAGAACCAATGAAGTGAACGAAAACAGACGACGTCACTTCCGCATTCACGATCTTTGCGTAGCGAAATATGAGGCCTGCTGTGCGGGTGAAACACGAGGTTAATCCGTCAGCTATCTGAATATCATAAATAAATAACAAACAAACGAGGTAGGTTAGTCTATTATCGATTTATTCATGCACTTTATGTTACGTTGGTCGACAATCCTTACATGACCGAAAACCGAATACACAAGGATACTTCCTCTTCTTGTCATCCATGTTTGGTTATCCCTGCGGCAAGTGTTTACCCCAACACGCTAGTAGAAAACCTCAATAGTAAATTGATGATAATATTCTACATGTGTGTGATACTGGTCTTGGTCCTACTGTTTCGGGTGACATTAACTGAAAAAATCCCAACACCATTGTTCTCCTAGTTGGCCAATCGATAAGACATGGAATCATTTTGCAAGAAGTTATGGTCAGTAAGCTCCTACCCACTCATGTGCTTCTGCGGGACTGTATTTACGGGGGTTCGCACTAAGTGAGTGAGTGAATACGTGAGTGAGTTTAGTTTTACGCCGCTTGTAGCAATAGTCCATCAATATCACGGCAGGGGACACCACAAAAGGGCTTCACATATTGTACCCATGTGGGGGAATCGAACCCGGGTCATCGGCGTGACGAGTGAACGCTTTAACCACTAGGCTACCCCACCACCCCTCACACTAAGTGAAAGTAACGAAGTTACCACAGTTTACTGGAATATTGAAATATTGCTGAGACCATAAATCATTCCTCAGTCCGGAACATTGAGTCAATGGAACACGATTTATGTTGTTCAAATAACAATTTATTATTTGAGTTGATAATCAGAAAATTCAAATCTCAACGACAGAAGCTTCTACTGACAGGGTAGTTCATTCTCAATCCTTTTTGGTAGGCGTTTTGGTATAATGTGCACAAATGTAGGTTACAAAATGGAGAACTGAGGCTGCTAACATTTCTAATTTACGTGTTGCAATATCATTACCAACGATAGCGTTCCAAGCTACATCAGGTAAATAGTGATAACATAGTGTTCTGTACGCCCAGAAGATAACGGTCGACCCATAACACTGATGATAACACTGTATATGTTTACTTGAAACTTACGCCAGCCAATCAGCACATGGATGGGTTGTGCAATACCGAGGTGTGCACGTCGTCACCGCTCAAACAACAAGGTTTCTCGGTTGGTATCGTTCAGTTCTTAAGATGGCCGAGTTTAAATGTCGCTCGTTGTTGCTGACGTGCGCCTCCCTGTTTTGTTTTTGTAACTGCCAGGACAATGGAGTGTCTGTAATTAACAGATTGGACCAGTTTGAGGAAGTGCTGCTTGATAACAAGGTTGATATTCTCCGTGTGGAACAAAAGGTGATCCATATGATAGATGTTGCAAAGTCATCATTGAGAGATGAATTAAAGGAAAGCATACTGGATCTCGTGAAAAATGCCATGTCCGAGATTCTGAAAGGAGAGTCTCTTCCTGACATGGTAAAGAGTGAGGTTGTCTCTGAAGTGCAGCATCTGAAACATGAATACCATAATATGAAGAGGCAGTTACACTATGTCTCTAAATCATTCAAAGAATTCCAAAACGAGACGAATGTAGTTAGCGAATCTGTCCTGGAGACGACACAGATTGGGAATCCAGAAAACTCGAGTGACATCTGTCTCAGAGATAAAGACAAACTGGAAATGGAGCTAAGGAAGTGTTCTATTTACTCAGCCGATCTCGAGACAAACATCAAGCAATTCATGGCACTGAATGAAACGTACCAGTCCCAAATATCAGAACTGAAAGCATCTGTCAGTGTGCCTGCTTGTACCGCCGCCACTGTCAATGTTACCTTATCCTCCAGTTCAGCTGCGCCGACGACGTCAGTGACGACACCCAAGCCAGAGGAGGAGAGAAGTAGGATCTTGATTGCTCCAATTTGGACAAGTTTCACCCATTATTTTCGTCAACTCAGCATCCAGAGTAACCATCTCAGTACCTATCAACATTTTGCTATGAAATATGTTAATTGCCTCGCCTACTTAACAAAGACGAACACTCTTCTGATTGGGTCAAACCAGCCTTACTCTATATTCGCCTCTACCCTGGATACAAATCAGGTGACAGAACTGAGAAGTAATATACGGACATTAGGCATGGCAGTGGATGAGGATCGGGACATTGTATTCATATCCAGACTAACTCCCCGACACTCAATCAGCCGCATGTCTACACAGGGCGAAGAACTCACTGTTATCACTGAGTTATACCTGTTCAGAAAATCTCCAAGGCAGATAACTCTTGACACAAAGAGAAGGCGGATATATGCGTGTGTTTATCATGCAGTGATCACAGTAACGTATGATGGTCAAGGTCTGAGAACATTAGATACGGGAGGTTTCTTGCATGCTGTATTTTTTGACCAGTCAGCTGGTGTGTTGTATTATAACAGCGACAGGAAACTGATGAAGATGACCGTGGGCGATGATATAAGCACAGAGGTGACCACACTGGACGCCAGGCCCATCAACATGTTGCTTTACAGAGGAGTCATCTACTACGCTGGAATTGATCCAACTCTTGTAGGTGCAGTTAATACGTCACGTTACACTGCATACACTCTGCAACCAATAAGCATGACACAGGTTGGTCAGATACACATTTGCTTAATTCCCTGAGTTCTATATTGGATTGTTCGAAACAACACGTTCAATTCTGATTGGCCAACCAGAGGTTTCAAACCAGAGTCAACACCACTAATTGAAACATGTGATTTGACGACCTTAGAAGGATGTTACAAACATATTTCTCTTTTAATCAATGTTGGTGGGCATTTTGAAATTATATGTACAATTATATGTTAAAGGAGAGGGTAAATTGAACGTGCTACAGCTAACTACAATCACAGCTACCAGCTGTAAAACAGACTGTATACGTCGCTCATTACAGACGTGGCTTTGTTAAGCAGAGACTGGAACTTTGACAAGGTGACCTACGCCTATCAGTGCACTTCACCAGCAGTTAAACAGACTGATACGTCTCCCAATACAGACACGGTTATGTTACTCCTGCATGGCAGTGCTACAAGGTGACCTCCTCCTATCAGTGCTATTATTAGATGAAATAACGGAGACTATGAACGTCAATCCTTTCAGCGACAATCGGCATCCCTAGACCTACTGCTCTATCTAATCGTCTGATGAAGATAACTCAATGATTGCCTGGGTCAAACTCATGGTCTTGTCCTGGCTTGTTTGCAACACAATTGATTGTCCAGATTGTTTTATTCTTACACCTTCTTTGCCCGATAACAAATAAGCTATACTCAAAGTAATGTCAAATGATAATACAGTTGTCCATCAGATTCAAGTTCAAGATAATTAATAAATCGTGTATCCAGAATATTTATTACGTGAGTGACTTTTATCTATTTCACCGGGCTGTATGTTTCGTACATTGTGGGAAAACTGGGCTAGAATAGGCCCTTATAACTGTCTTCCGAAATAATGAAATCAGCCTTGGTGACTGGCCTGATGATTTGCAGGCCGCTGTCATATATCCGCAACAAAATAACAAACTTGACAACCACATGTTTTTTTATAATAATTTTGAGGGGGTAATTCCGTTTTGTATCCAAGTCATACCGCTATTAATGACAAGTGGTTGGTTAACATGTTGTTTAACGCCGCACTCAGCAATATTCCAGCTATATACAATCGAATCTGGACAAGACAATCCAGTTATCAACATCATGAACATCGATCTACGCAAATGGGATACAATGACATGTGTCAACCAAGTCAGCCAGCCTGACTCCCTGACCCCGTTAGTCGCCTCTTACGACAAGCATGGGTTGCTGAAGACCAATTCTCACTCGGACCTTCGCGGGTAAGTAATGAATAATTAATGGCAAACAGTTTTGTGAACAGAAACAGTTTAATCAGTCTGTAACTACATCAGTTTTCTGTAATGCAGTCGATCAGGAATAATAGATTCAACAGAATTTACAATGTGTATTTAAGCCAGAACATCAGATCATGGTAATTCCGACAAAAGTTAAACAGAAAAATGGAAAAAGTCAGCTAAATTCACATCCAGATTATTTCTCGTTACAATATACCTAATCTGTATAATTAAATTCATCTCTGACCAACGTGTCACGTTTAGCTATAGCCACGATCTTCAAGTTTGTCAGGTGTTTCTACTTCACAGTTTGTTCGTCACTTTCATCTTTCCCTTTGTCACACGATTCCATGGCGCAGGACACGAGAGGCGTTCCAAGGTTGTCCGATTTGTGTTCACTCCAATCTGTATCAGATTTAGAAGTGAAGGTCATAGTGTCTTCCAATGCCCTCCCTCTGGTTTCCTCGAGACCAATGGTGGCAAGAATATTTAGAACCACCAGAATTCCCATAGCAATGAAGGGCAGCATGAGGTCCTTAGTTCCACCCTGTAGTGATCATTATTCCTTAAGCAAAACATCAATACCACCGAGTCATCACACAAAAGAGAACAACATGAATCACAAATGAAAGAATTTTGTTCGTTGTTTAACACCGCACTCAGCAATATTCCAGCTATATGACGACGGTCTGAAAATACACGAGACTGAGCCAGACCATCACGTGATTGACATCATGAGCATCGATCTATACAATTAGGAGGATACGATGACATGTGTCAACCCAGTCAGTGAACCTGTCCATCCGATCCCGTTTGTCTCCTCTTACGACAAACATGGGTTGGTGAAGACAATTCTAACCCGATCTTCACGAGTATTACACGAATTGAACCGTACACTTTCCACTGGTCCTGATTGCCCGATTCCGTTAGTTGCCTAATTCTACAATCTTGGAAATCGGAGATCAGTGAAAACCCGAATGTTAGCGAATCCCATTCTCTGATCCATGTGATGATGCATTAATAACATTGGACCAGTGATCATGATCCCTAGAACTCTAGGCAAAAGAGGAATAGGAGAGAGACTCTATCTTTCATATTTGCACCGTGCGCTTCCTGCCATTGGTATCTGCTGATAAATATATTTAATAGATATGGCAATGCGGTGCAAGAATCACACACAAACGCACACGCACATACACACACACATTCTGTATATATATATTGCTGTAAGTGATTTGTTACTAGAAACTGACCAGTGATAAGACTTGACTAGCGAGAATACCACCGATTCTTGCAGCAGCACTCTGGGCGGCGCACGCCAAGTTTCTGGGAAAATAAATACATGGCTTCATTACAATGTGACAAAACTAGACTTTTCTTTCCGCGTTAATGATGCTGACTATGCCAAGACGCAGCCTCTCTCTGCTGCAGATATTTTATCACATCATCATTATATATTTTTATCTAAATAGCAATTTTATTGATAGGATGAAAGAAGAAATTCAAGGTAAAACACTCGTATACGAAAAATCTATGATTAATATGTTCTATATTCAATCCAATTGGGTCCATGTCTCTGCTGGTGCCCGGGATTCACCATTGTATGCTACTGGATCAACTTATAAAGAAATGGTCGAAAAAGGAGACATAAAAGGTGACCCCCAATAAGATATATTTTCCACAGATTTTTCTTTATTTATAAGTATCGGAATCTCTGTAATTCAACAGTAATTTGAAATTATCTAGGTGGATTGTCCACTCCATTGACCACTTGATTGTCTGCTTTGTTTACAGAACGCCGTCGCATGGCAGGAGTAATGCTGTGTGGCGTTAGGCAAAAATACTTCCATGTTACGGGAAATTGTGTGAATGGTAGAGCAGGACATGCTTACCCTTTTCACGAACACCTGGAGTCATTACTGATTTTCAGTGATCCATTCATATAATTTTCACAGCTTTTTGTCCTTTTGCATCAAACGGAACTTGTTTCTGAGAAAAGTCATGATTGGGTTTCCTTTGGTACTGACGTCCTATATTGTATTCTCTAACGTGAAGGCTCTTCATCACAGTGTGCCTTTCCACACGTGTTTGATGGTCTTCTTGAGCGACATGATGAAAACAAGGCATTCTACAGTTTTCGTAAACGAGGCAAGGAAATTGGACACAATCTGATTTTGTAAATGGTCCTGTACTGCTGGACAATACAGAAAAGAGTGCCAACCAAGCGAAATGCCATATCGAACAGGCACAGACTCAGACTCAAAGAAGGTTTTTCAAAGGAAGACTCTCTGCAAGACCGCTGCACCGAGTTTACGTGCAGTGTGTTGACGAGAGGAGCAACCCTGGCGAGTCCTTCGCTTGGTTGAAGTCGGCTGGCCTGAAACGTAAAAACAGAAGACTTTCTGTTGGCTGCACAGGACCATTCACTGGCCACTCGGAACCGCTTTGGGATACGATATCAAGTGCCATTCAAGTCCGAGAGACTGACCAACCAATCATGTTAATCGCCTCTTACGACAAGCAGGGGTTGCTGAATCTTCAGAGGTTGATTTAAAGAAGTAGGAACAACCTGCTGTATTGCGTGTGGAGTGGTACAATGTAATATACTTTGCACGTATGGGTGATTTTCCAGATAGAAACGTTTGCTCATAATAGGCAAAGTAATGTTTAGATGGCTGATATTTGTGCTCGAGGTGGTCGTGTATGAATAGTAGACTTGCCTCGGAACATTTGATAACCAGAGTTGCCAAAGGAAAACATTGCACATGCACTATGCAGCCCAGGCTGTGATTCCCAAGCTGACATAAAATGTTAGTCCGAAATCTGTACGCCAAGAAATGCATTGTGAAACCATCAAGCAGTGTAGAAACCTTAATATATATGTATCGCTGTTGTGTTCTAAAATTAACTAAAAGTAAGAATATGGATGTCAGCTTCTCTATTTTGAGGAACATGACATTTGTAAGTGTCATAATGCTTATCACCTACACAACTTTTTATGAATGGATAAATTTATTTGTTTATTGTCGTAACCTTGTTTTTTTCTTTCACCTGATGAAGGAGCAGGAATAGATTCCGAAACGTCGTGTTCCTCAAAATGAGTTGACATTTTTTAAATTGTGCCTTTATGTGAATCACTTCTAAATGAAGTTCAGTAAGTGCTCTAACGATTTAAAAGATTAGAAATCCCAGATGGTCTCAGATGTGAAACAGATTACATCGGGATACATGATCAACTCAGTGAAGAAATTCAAAGGCAAATCAGACGTAACTAATGGAAAGAAACAGTGTCAATTTCAACTCCCACAACGGGGCAGCAATGGCTATGTAATCATCGATTCTCCTGGTGCACCTGGAGATGCTTCTTACCTGATGACTGTAGGGAACTGTTCCGCGGTCAAAGTCATAACAACCATCCATCCTATTATCATTGTAAATTTGGCTGCTATCGCGCATGCGTTGACGTAATTTCCCCTTTCATCAGCAGGTGCTAAACATACAGAAGCAGAACTGTATTCTATTATATTTTTAAAGATAGTAAAAGATAAAACAGTGTTAACTTCTTTGAGTGGCATTTTAGAAGTTGGGAAGTACAATATAGAACAAACTTTATGGATAACAACTTCTTTTTATTCGTGAGTGCGACGTTTCGATACAGATTCTTGTACCGTTGTCAAGCAGTGTTAACTAAAAACACACTTGCATCGACAAACAAAAACATCGACCTGCTAAACTGATTTCTCCTTCAACTTTTACAACATTATCTCTCCTTTCAGATCCAGTGTTGAAGAGCTCGCCGAAAGGGTTGACAAACATGTACAGGCTCGCCTCAACTGTCTTAATCGATGCTTACGAAGTCAACCACTGGATTTCCTTGTCTCGACTCGGTATTTAGTGATCGCGTCACATTGCTGGAATATTGATGAGTGCGATGTCCAAACACATTATCTTAAAAAACCAGTTAAGCAGACAGTACCCAGCCGTGTTGAAATTGCCAGTCCGAAACATAATGCAGCGGTCAGGGAGAATGACACCACAGATCCGGTTCGCCTTCCAAAACTGTAAATTGCAATTGAAATGAAAACATTAAGTGATTGAGATAGTGAGTGTGTGGGGTTAAACGACATCTTTAACATATATCAAGTCGTTTCAGCACAATGTTGGACGAAATATGTTTTTGTTCTTGTTGTTTAACGCCACACTCAGCAACATTCCAGCTGTATGGCGGCGGTCTGTAAATAATCGAGGCTGGACCAGACGATCCAGTGATTAATAGAATGAGCATCGATCTACACAATTGGGATACGATGGCATGTGTCAACCAAGCCCGCCAGCTCGACCACCCGATACCGTTAGTAGCCTCTTGTGAGAAGCACGGGTTCCTGAAGACCAATTCTAACCCGAGTCTGTATGAGTGTTGGACAAAAGACCAAAGTGTTACGTCTACGACGTTCACGAGGTTGATGAAACGCTAGTGCACGGCTATGAATCTAAAAACCTTGGATCATAATCGGGGAACTGGGATTTGAAGCTCAGGTTTCTGACTTTCTCAAGGGACGTAACTCTAAAGAGGGACCAGCGCCATAGACGAAAGGGCCACCCTTACTCCCGAGTGAGGTAGTTTCTTTTAGGGCTGCAATAGCTTGCAACAGAAACATATCACGTTGTTGAAGCTGGTCATCGCCTTGTCGCGAATAGCTGGAAATTTGCTGATGCGGCTTAAAGGAAAATGCGTTCACTCATTCGTCCATTCGTTACTGATCTGGGATTTTTTCTCACAGCTACCATTCAAATACAGGGTATATTTTTTGACAATTAAACAAAGACAAAACAATTGGTTAACACATTACTTCGATCAGTAAGTTTTCAAAACCTTTCCCTAAGAAGATGTATTTCTTTGAAAATGGAAAACTAATTCGTTAAATATGCATCACAGTATCACATAATGTGACACAGATCAGATTTCCATTTTGAAAACTCACAAGGACGTGATGAAGATGATACAGGGAGTCACAGGCAACTCTGTGAGAGCCATCAATAGCATGTTCAGGTAGAAATCACCGGACAGATTCTTCAGACCAAAGGCTATACCATAGTACACAACAGAACAGGAAAACCTATTGGGAGAAACAAAACCATTACACTATCGTAGCATTCAATTACAGATTGACTGTGTGTTGTTTTGGTTTATTGAGGTAAGAATCGGAAAACCAATGTTCAAACTGTATGAATCAGTGTATTGTTTTCATTCTTTTGATACCTCAGTGAAGCGAAAAGTGCACTCAGTCAGCCTTTATAATTATTGAATTCAACAACAATGTAAGAATATATATTTACTTTGTTGATGCAAACTAGTATGGAACAGTTGCAAAACTGAAATGTTAGAACCTCATAGTGAAGGCAATTTCTTTTTTTTAATAGAAATCAGAAGGTAAATATGATTAAAAAAGGTAAATATGATTGAAGAACCAGTCATACAACATTACAATATTTGCATGCAATACCGATTAATTGTATTACAAATCTTTCTGGAAAGTCACTCTGAAACATAGAGGATGAACACTTCAGTCTTACCAGATGAAACATGAAAAAAACGTTTTCTTGGAGAGTTTCTTTGTCCTCATAAGATCCAAATAAGAGTAGTTCCTTGTCTTTTCCCCCTCTGTCTTATCCTCCTTAGCTATCAGTTCTAAAATGGAAGTGTCTGGAATTGGCTTCTTGTTCAAGGCCGCCATTTTGTTGATGACACTTTTCGCAGCCTCCAAACGCCCTTTCACAGAAAGCCAACGAAGCGATTCTGGTACAACGCTAAAAGAGCAGTTAAAAACGGTCAAACACGTTTCCATCAACAACAGCTATTAATTGAAAACATTCCCAGATATATTCATCAATTAAATGGCAAAATGTGTTGTTACAAATATCTAATTCTCTTCATTATTGGGTACTTCAGACAAGACGCGTTTCGTTCTTTTATCCTAATACTTACAACCACGTGAAGAGGTAAGGAAATGTCAAGGCTGCCGTTGCTAGATGCAGCCATTTCCAGTTGTGAAGCCATTTAGCTAGAAGACTCAATATCAGCATCCCTAACGCCCAATCAGGCAGTGATGCAACAAAACCTCGCCATTTCTTTCCAACAAATTCTATCTGGTACAGGTATACAGTTGCCAGTATCAGACCACATCCTACACCAAGAAATGCCCTCACAACTGTAAACATGATCCAGGACACGGAAAAGGCTGACACGACATTTCCAAGGAAGAGTACAAATATTCCACCGTAGAAGACTTTCTTCCGTCCGTATTTATCTGCACAGTAGCCAGAGATTATTGCACCCAAGAGCAACCCAGCCATTTGAATAGATATTGTAGCATTGCTGACCCAACTCATTTCACAGACCAGATTCCACTACAACAAAGGAAACAGAAGCGTTATTAAGTTTAGTAACTTTTAAGATTAGGTAGGATTGATTGATGACGTTCTGTTTCCATCTTAATAATGATTTACACTTTGTGGAAAGTCCCAAACGATTCATTGTAGACTATGTTGGTGACTTGTATCTTGACATTGAAAGTAACCTCGGGCTCAGAGTTCTGTTGCCGTCTGTGTTTTCTCCAACAAACACAATCAAATAAAAAAGCAATATATTACATATCTATCAGTCACATCTGTATTTTTTCACTGTTTGAAATTGGTAGTTGATGTTTATTGACTATTCATGTTTTGACAAAAACACAGCATACTTTCAAGGCTTAAATCCCGAGGCAAAGAAGTCGCTGACTAGGTTTCCTTCACCTAAATCTTTTTCTGGAAATGTTAATTAAACATTTACGACCACGTGGATACCAGTCTGAGATAATATATTCATATGATCTATAGATATTTACAACAAGTTAAGGTATATAAGGTTATACTGACAATGCCAAAGAGGAAATCTCATGTGACATATATAATTGAGTATTCTCAGGGTAACATTTAATTGGTCTCAACTTAGCTTCTCTGAATATATGAAAGGTCTTTAATGGCTGTATTGTGGGTTAAAGATAATGGTTGCGACAGATGGTACGTTTGCTGGAGCCTGCTATATATATGTATACCCCTTTGTTGACAGAGCAGAAGAATCTAGTGCAAAAATCATAGAGGAATATTTTGTTAATGTTGTCAAATAACATGTATATTTCATCGAGTGGTCTGACAAAGTTGATAACTTGTGAACATATCAACGAGATGAAATATACATGCTATTTGACAACATTCACATAATGCTCTATTTATTATATTTTGATCCTTGTTTATATATGATTGAGACATCTTTTATCAGAAAGTAGTTCCAGGCAAAAATCATATTCTACTCAGTGAAATAACATGTTATTCTACTCAGTGAAAATACCATTTTTATTTTCACCAATATTTACAGTATTTCACCCTTAAGAATATAATAAAAATGGAGATGTCTTCAAGAAGTAAACTCCAACCAAAATCTCACAGTGCATATTTCTTCCCCAGTTAACAATTTAACCTTAAAACTATTTCATGTGTCACTTATGCCAATTCGTTCGACCCAAAATTAACGTAGTAAAGCATTAATGTGATTGCCAGTCTGCGAAATTACAAACTTGCCTTCTGAGTTAAGCAGATTTTGAATGACAGATGACTGGGACAAAACTGATTTATTCAAGTTCTTTTCTCACTTTTCTGCTGGAGCAATGACAACATTAAGAGCTGACTCAATCCACAAAGACACATTCAACAGGTGCAGCTTTTCTGTTTGTTTTCAGCCCAGCGTTCGACAGCATCCATACTGATTGTAAAATTGGTAGTATGCAGGTTATTACCAACAACCGAGTCATCTGTTTTCAAATGAACAATAGGTTGGTAGGAGTATGATAAGTCTTGGCAGCCAAATGTACTGAAATCGTCATCATGAACTGAAATATCTTCATTCTGCAAAACATTCCTGCAGCTGAACATCATTTAAGAGTTGGTGTTCGATAAGGAAACTGAAACTGATGAAATTTGTTAAACAGTAGGCCATTTCGGAAATCTCATTTTCTGAGAAGGTTACTTTAGTTTAAACCACCACTGCCTTGTACGCCAATTTCAAAATCATATAAACGAATCTGAAAGATAAGGAACATACCTCTGTCACTGCCGTATCCATGACGTCACTGAACTTCCTCTCACATGTCCCGTTCCAAAAACAGTTTTTATAACTTCCGTTCAGTGGACTCGTGTTCCATTGGCTGAGTTCATCATCACCAGAAGCACACCACCAGTCAGGTTCCACACCAGCAAATGACATCATTAGCATCGTTGGAACAACTATTACCTTAGAATACGCCAATGTTGGAATTAGGAGTCGTTGGTAAAGACCAAATCCACCAATGTCATCAATAAGACCTTCAAGGTGCATGGTGGTATTTGTTGTCTGTGACAATTGTTGTATCGATTGAATACGATGGATCTAAAATAGAAAAGGAAAATACCTCAGGCAAAACAATTCAGTTCATGGCAAGAGAATGGCATTGTAGTTGTCATAATCAAAACAAAATCAGATTTTTCGTGGTTCTCACTATTACAGTTTTGGTCAAAACCACCAGGCAATACACTGATTGTACACGATCCGTTTTGGGCGTTGCAGATGGCTTCAAAATGTACGAACGTCAGTAATGAAATCTTGTTTTATAGTAGTAATGGTGGTGGTAGTAGAAACCTTTTCAATCCTCCAATCTACTTGTGTCGATGTTAAATGGTGTGTAATTCGTTTTACCAAAATAGAAGTACTTGTGTCTTCTTCTTCAGCATGAACTTCTTGAACCAACGACAGTACATTCAGTTATTTTTCAAAAACTCTATTTAAACTGAGTCTTCGTGGCGGCCATAAATATACCCTGTTCCTATATAAATATAGAACAGAGAAAAACGTTTAGAAAAACAATTTTAATGCCGTGGTTTTCGTAAGCACATATCCAAACTGATAGAAAAAAACTGTTTTGCAATGCATATAATGTCATGTACCTCGTTCGGATACTAAATGGCTCGCAGATACTCACCTATTTCAAAAGAAAAAAATAGTTAAAAGTAGGTGGATGTCCGCAGGTGCTGCTCTCTTTAACAAAGTGGCTCAGATTTAGTTATGACTCAAATAAGTACGTGGCACAGGATATGCCAGGTCACGTTATGTCGTGACTATGATTCAAAATCTGTAATAATTACCTTCCTGAATATATCAAATGTATCAGTTGTATAATTAGTTGGAAGTATTTCGCAACTATTGCCTCGTTTGACTACGTATGTTCCTCTATAGTATGACCTAGGGGCTGTGGGGAAGCCTAGTGGTTAAGGCGTGAGCTCGTCATGCTGAAGACCAAGGTTCGATTCCCACATGGGCACAATGTTTGATGCCCATTTCACGTGTCCACTGCCGCGGAATATTGGTGGAAATATTGCTAAAAGCGGCGTAAAACTAAACTCACTCACTCACTCAAGTGTGATCTAAGTATGTCTTTGGACCTCCGAAGTCCCTTATCTGTGCAGGTTTGGAAACTACTTCAGATGTAACACGGCGTAGTCTTTTGTGCCACAGTCGCATGTTGGTATGTGGAATCCGAATATTATGTGTGTCTATATATATATAAAGAAAGTGATGAGAATACCGAGCGTACAGTAGTACATATATAAGAAGAAGTTTCTGAAATAATCACATGACACGGATCTTCTCCTCTGAAATGATCACACGACACGGATCTTCTCCTCGGAAATAATCACACGACACGGATCTTCTCCTCGGAAATGATCACACGACACGGATCTTCTCCTCGGAAATAATCACACGACACGGATCTTCTTCTCGGAAATAATCACACGACACGGATCTTCTCCTCGGAAATAATCACACGACACAGATCCGTGTCGTGTGATTATTTCAGAAACTTCTTCTTTTATATATGGACAAGGTTCCTGGTTCAACTTAACAGTTGTGGAAGTTACTTTTGTCGTTAAAACTGTACCATATTATATATCCCTAAATGAGTGAGTGAGTTTAGTTTTACGCCGCTTTTAGCAATATTCCAGCTATATCACGGCGGGGGACACCAGAAATGTATCCCTAAATGAAAGCTCAAGAAACCTCATTAGTAAGTCTTCCTTTTGAATATTAAATAGCCACAGTCAAATACATGAGCGACCAAATTAAGCACATGCACTGAAGATTGGAACTGGTTGTAATAAGTTCTTTTCGTGTGCGGATTTCAGAGGAATTCTTCTCAAAATGTTTTCCTGCTACTGCATTACAGAATCACCTGTTATACGCCCATAAAGTCTATCTTCCCCGTGGATAAGCAGGACACCTGTTCTCTTGCCATACGTAAATTCCAAACGAAATATGGCAAATGACAATTAGGTGACAGATTGTTATGGCTAGCAACCATTTTGTTCTTTGCATTCAAAGATATACTAATGAAAATCTTATGACAACTAAAACTTTTAAGATCAGTTTTAAGTCTTTTGAAATGATATTCCGAATGCCAATTATTTCATTATCATAATCGTGAGAAATCATATGTAACTGTTACTTATTGTTGCTTAACATTTCGTTAAAACCGTAATGGTGAAGTTTACATAGCTAAATATGTTATACATACTATTCTAAAGAATGAAGTGAAAGCCTTAACGACATGCACTATCCCAATCCGCGGAACGTGTTTGTCTGTAGCTGGTTTAGGCTCTTCACCATGCCAAGTGGTAATGAACATTTCCTAAAGGAAACAGGCATAATACAACTGTGACACTACAAATGAATTGCCAAAATTAAAATAGTATTGTCATGTTTCGTTATTGTCATATTTTTGGGGCGTGGTGGGCGAGCTGGCTAAGGCGCCAGGCTAGTGATCCAGTGAGTTTGAGGTGCCGGGATCGAGCCCACCTTTGACCGGGTGTAAAAACCTAAGTCAACTTTGCGTACAGAATCCCTCAGTGTTGTCAAAACCCCTAGTGTACAGTACACAACCCTGTGCACTTAAAAGAACCCACGAATCCGTTGTTATATGACCAGATGGTGGCCACATGAATACGTGCCAACTCTTAGTTTCGGGTACACTTGGACAAAGTACTGTGACTATGTGTCCCAGTCCACCCAACTGTGATTAGGTACCTCGTAAGGATAGGAAAGCCGCAATAACTCGGTGCGCATTGTGGCAGCAAGAGTTGGGAATTGAGATTGATAATAAGATGTGCCGTTGAGATTGACATAGAATGATCGAGGGAAAAAATACCAGCGCTTTGAGCAAGCACTAGTGCGTGGATATGTGCGGTATATAAATATCCAATAATAAATATTAAGAACGAAAGGAATGTACAGGACGAAACTGCAATGACCTCATGGTTTCCTCACACCCCACTTTTGGTTGTTTTGGTAAAAAATAAGACAAAGTTTGTTGGCGGACCCCACATATCGTTTCAGGACGTGTTTTAACTAACATACAATAGTGAGTGAGTTTAGTGCGCGCCGCTTTAAGCAATATCTCAGCAATATCACGCGGGGGACACTAGAAATGGGCTTCACACATGTAGGGGATCTAACCCGGGTCTTCGGCGTGACGAGCACACGATTTGATGACTCGGCTACCCCACCGCCCTGACACACCATAGGATACTGAAACAGACTATAGACTACCGGCTTGTCTGACTGCGCATAGAATGCGGGATGTTAACATTCACCGGGTGTGACCATGAATAGGGGGTCATGGTTTTGCTTCAAAATACGAAGTAGATAGGATGTGTTAAAGGTTCTAGATCCATTCTCTCTCTACGGGAAGTCTTTCAACCAATCAAGGTGGTGACATTTAATATTTTAGTGAACATGGTGATGACTCGTAATAATATAAGTCTTTGAATAGCGTTTATGAGTGATACACCTTGTCGCGTATTGGAATTGAAAAACTAAACTAACTAAAATTTAAGTTTCGAAATGTGCTTTTAAACGTGAATCTCCTTAACAAATGCAAATGGGGCAAGTAACTAAATATGACCTTAAAGTCTTGTATTTACAATAATCTATCTAGCTCTATTGTAGCTTAAATTATATTTTCAACTATCTAGCACTTTTGCATTTGCCAACAATGTGATGGGGCTGGATTGGTCACACCAAGCAACCAACATCGCCAGAGAGGCACTAACATGAAATCCTCAGGGGAAGAGAAGGAGAGGCAGGCCCATAATCACTTGGCGTCACGACCTTGATACTGATATATAGAAAAGTGGATTTACTTGGAACCAACTGGAGAGGAAAGCCCAGGAAAGGGAGATCTGTAGTGGGCTGCCTATGCCCTGCTTGGTGTGTTAGACCTAAGTAAATGTAAAGTAACATTTTTCTTATGTGGATGACTTCAACATGCCATTCAAAGACCTGATACGGCATCAATATGGAGGTCACACAGTACTATCCTTCAATAAGTTCAATCATTTGAAGGAGTAAAAATACACATGACCTCTTCTCGTCGTGTTCCTTATGCTAAAAAGTTGACAAAATCCTCCCTCTTCATTCTATAATATCTGGGACCTGATAGTAACCGTTCAAGGTTAATGTTTGGTCTAGGATACTATAATACCTAGAATTTGTTGTCGGAGGATTACTTTGGGAAAGCAACACCTTCAAAATAACCAAGAGAAGCATATATTAGTGGCCAGTCTTTATTCGGTGCATTTCATGATTTACAATATATATATTATATATTCAAATATTAGGATTATTACATAGGAAAATCGTGTGAATTAAGAATTACATAAACTTTACTGACGATGTATCAATAAACAATTGCAAAGGTTACACGAAAATAAAGACACTTTATGTTATATTGGAATGTTATACTCGTGATGTGGCGCAGCTGAGAAAAATGCGTAGAAGATAATAAGGTAACTCTTCATGTGTTATCAATGACAATATAATAATCCTTTCAGTTTATGGAGAACGTAATTTCTGGGTTGTACTTTACTACACTCCAACAGAATACAACTTAAACAGATTATTTAGGAATACACAAACAATATAATTATTCTGTCTGGTGGTTGAATAATATGACCACTTCTTATACATCTAGAATATCGTGAATTACTAAAGATCATATACAGAACGGCAAGTTATTGAAAGAGTACAACGTATACATAGATAAAGCTTAACCATACTGAGAACATATTAAGATATGCGCAACAGAATGAAAGGTCTATGTGCGCTCATTTATTTATTTATATATTTATTTATTTATTCATTGCGCTCAATGGAAGGAAGAGTAAACATATCATGATGAATGTACAAAGTGAATGATATATAATTTTGTAAAAACCAATCATTGTAAAACAGTATATGTCATATAAACAAATTAGTTTGGATCAAATCTGCCTGTTAAATTTATAAAC